CTAAAGCAACAAAACAAGAAATGAAGAAATCACTTGTTTAGGAAGGAATTTTATTTTTGTGACATTAGATTTAGTTAAACAGAGCTCCAAAAATGTAAAGACCAGCGCCTGCTCTTTGGACTTAAAAGGCAGATCAAATCTAACAGGTAGCCAGCTGAATCCTAGTAAGAGGGGGGCCCCCCCTCTCCCCCTTTTGTCTTTGCATGTTCTTCCCTTTGAGACAAGGTGAGATGCAAAGGGAAGAATGTACACAATTTTGTAAGACAGTTCTTTTCGCTCCCTAACACACTCATCTTCTAGTAGCCAGGGCTCTTCCCTTTGGATTTACTGCTACCTTGGGTACTCTCCGTAAGTCCAGATCTCATCAGCTGATGAATTTTTGAAAATTAAATGCACAGACCATGAGGGTTCAATTGTGTTGCTACTACCTTTATATCTTTAATAGCTCGTCCACAAAAAGAAGTTACCATGTCACTATTTCCTAAGACCATTTTTTCACACTAAAAAACCGCACCATTTTCAGCACCAAGTGAAAAATTTGACTGAATTTGAGGACTAAACTGCCCCTCTGGGTTGGAATATAGACACCACTGAGGCAGGTTACAAAAATGTTTCCGAACACAGATAGATATGAAAAATCTATTTCAGCATTCAGAAGCTTTATTCTGTGTTTGTAAAGGAGAAACTTTTGTAATATACTATCATAACACAGTCAATACCAGAGATTTCATTTTAGGGCAACATCTAATTCTCAATCCCTTTTTCAGATGATTAAAGCAAAAACACAGTTAAAGCAATCAGTGAAATGCCCTCTCCCTCCAGGCTTGTCTGCTACCATAGCTGTTCCTGCAGGACTGTGTGATTCATACCCTAGATCCTTTTCATCTGTGAAGGGAAGCCCATTCATAATTGTCCTGAGAGAAAAGTTTGAGGGGTGATTTTTATCTCAGAACATCAACTGACACTTTTAAAATCAGTAAAATAACATTTTTCCATATTTTGGTAAAAGTAACTCACTAACAGCAGTGACAGATGGTTTAGCCCCGTGTATCCTGCTGACAGAATAAATATCTTTTTCACATTCAGTCAAAAATTGCCCCTTTAATTTTAATGATAAAATATATTAAGATAAATTAATTTATTTATAAAGCTTTAGCTTCATTTAAACTTTATTTCAAACTCTATTTTTAAAAATAATTTTGTAAGCATCCCAAAAACTATAAAATTTTTGTAGAAATGAAAACATTACTGTTTCCAACAGTTTCAAGTTTCAAAACATTAGAACACCTTTAAAACAAGAACAACTTTATCGTAATTTAAGGGTAATGAGTTTAGTTGCATGCAACGTACCCAGCAATCCCAGACAGCTAAATTACCACAGGTGTAGAATACATAACACCACCAGAGAACATGGAAGATCTATGTAAGTGTAATGTATGTAAGATGTATGTATTTAAGAAGCAATGGTCTTTATTTGAATTTTGAATTTCACCTGCCTGAAAAATAATTACCTATGCATGAAAAGTTGTCCTGGTTAGCTGTGTGCATTACAGTAGGGGGAAAAGAAAAAAAAAAATTTTGTTCCTCACATTCCTCCACCACACAGATTTTCTAACATTTTCAGAAGTGAAGTCTCCTTTACCGCTGGATGGGATGGTTCAGACTTTTCAGAATTTTTGCATTACTAACACTGCCACTGCACTGACAAATGTAGTTCTCTTCCATGGGTTACACTGCTGCCTGAGAAAAAAATCATACCTGAAACAAAAAGGACACTGAATTTGATTTCTAATTCAGCTGTGGTTTTTCACTTTGTATGTGACAGAATGAAGCTTAAACACATTAAACACAACATGGAGAGAGTCCAGAGGACGGCTGCAAAGTGGACTGAAGCATCTCTCCTATGAGGAAAGGCTGAGGGAGCTGGGCTTGTTTAGCCTGGAGAAGGCTGAGAAGTGACCTTAGAAATGCTTATAAATATTTTAAGGGTGTGTGTCAGGAGAATGGGGCCAAACTCTTTTCAGTGGTGCCCAGTGACAGGACAAGGGGCAACGGGCACAAACTGAGGCACAGGAAGTTCCAGCTGAACATGAGGAAGAACTTCTTCACTCTGAGGGTCACAGAGCACTGGAACAGGTTGCCCAGGGAGGTTGTGGAGTCTCCTTCTCTGGAGATACTCAAACACTGCCTGGATGGGGTCCTCTGCAGCCTGCTGTAGGTTAACTTGATTTGGCAGGGAGTTTGGACTAGATGATCCCCAGAGATCCCTTCCAACCCCTGCCATTCTATGATTCTGTAATTAATGAAACCAAGTCTTGGCCCATAACCAGCAAGCCCAAGCACTGTGCTATTACAAATAAATGCTTTCATCTCTGACAATGACTTTTATAATAAGTCTGTTTGTTTTCCCAATTACTTGCTCTCTGGATGAGTCACCCTTCCATGAAGCCTGACATGAAGATAACATCATTTTCCTCTACACAGTGCACCACCTTTTAGTTCTGTAGCATGTGAAAGCGTCAGCTTCAAAGCACAGCATGGACTGTTCAAATTCCGACATTATTACACTGGGCGGTGTAACATTGCCTACACCTAATTAACGCTTGTACAATGCTTTGAAGATAGAAAAGTTTATGATTATGACTAGTAACAATATTGAACCAATACCAAAACTGGACTAATTCCTACTGAAATGAGTGTGGAAATTGTTCAAAGTTACACCAGGCAATACTACTACTCCAAGAACATTACTTATCCTAGGTGGGGGCTGAGGGGGAAAGGAAGAAAACAATTACTTTCTTCGGAACAAGGAGGAAAAAAATCTCTAAAGTATTACAAAAATTAAACACATGAACACTCAGCCTTAAAATTAAATGTAATCTTTACATAATTTAACATGCCTCATAAATCTTCACCCTAGATATATAAAATGTAGCTCTTCACATTTAAAACTCAAGAAAAAGAAAACAGGTTGCAGTAAGTAGTCAATCCTTACTTGAACATTTGGTTCAGGCTGTGGGACAGAAGTCTTCATGTTGTATTCCTGTAGCTGACATGACAATAAATCACGGCCATGAAGAATTAAAATCAATGTCCCCATCCCCAACATATGCAGGAGCATCATCTGCTACATATTTCCACCCTAGGTTATTCAAGTTTATGCTAGACTCATCCACACTGCAAAACCCATGCTTACTGAACTTTTAATTGATTGATGTATGGGATCTGGCATATCCAGCTGGATTCACTGTCTAATCATTTTGCTGCAAAACCTCCACTCCCCAAGTATTGGCTCAGCTGCACTCCAGCACAGTACCACAGAAAAAACAGCCTCCAATGCAAGCATTCACTGGATCGGTTTCCTTCCAGCAATGCACAGCTCTAGCATACTTGTTCCCCCCCGTACCCAAGAACTGGTACAGCTACTTCCAATGCCATTATTAAATTCTCTAAGTTACTCATTTCTCTAGCTATGTTTGCATGGAAAAAAAAGAGAAGAACACTCATTTCAGTCAGCTAAAAAAATATTCAAACTAAGCACAAACATTTTTTTAAAAGGAACCTATTGTTCCACATTGCCAGCAAAGCTTAACTGGCCTACGCCAAGCCTCATTGACACTCCTTTTCATCACCGAGTTATACCTGGCATACTCTAGTCACAGATGGCACATTCACTGAGCATACTTTTTGCAGATTAATAGTGTAATACCGGAAGCAAGTTTAACCACAGCATTCTTAACCTTTCATATTACACTCCTCCTTCCACAGTTTTGTGCATTGTTTACACAAAATCACAAACCAACACTGGGAGACTAAAATGAGGTGTATATTTCAGAGCATGGGTTTTGCTGTTCCACAGTGATCATTAAGTCACTTTATGCCCTTGACTTGGCGCTGTTTCAAAATTATGAAAAGATCAACACAGGCATTATTACACAGTCCTCCTTAACGGAGGTACTTCTAAAAAATCTGAAAAGCACCACTTATCATTGTGGCTGTCGAAGACTTTGTCCATTCTTGCAGAAATTCCTTTTCAGTCTTTCAATATCAAACTCAACTAGCCACTTTTTAGTGAAATTCAAACACCCCTTTAAGTATATACAATCCTTAAGACACTTCCTTTAGAAGTACCTCAGTGCAGTAAATACAACTATGTTCATTATCCACAATGTCAATCAGACATATGCTTTATTAAAAGTAACAGAAAAGAAAGATTTCGCAAGACAGTCAATTAGTGAAATGAAAGCACTCTGAAACAAACTGTCAATAATTATGGAAAATGCACAGATAATCTCATCAACTCAATATTTAAGAAACAGACACATCCTTATACACGTTTCTTCTGAGACAAAGTAACAATACAGTTCACTAACCAAACTTTACACTACATGTATCTGGTGTGCCAAAAAATCAGTGCTACCACAAATTGAGAAATCCCTTGTCTTCACTGAACAGCTAGTACATGAAAGCACAATAGGAAAGCAATACAAAATTCTTAGTTTGTTGAAAGATCAGTGAAGACTCGCCCCCTGCAACTGCCAGAGTTTACTTTCCATACTTGAGGTGGAATGGCTGAATAAGTGAAGTAGTCTCTAAACAAGACTATCTACCTGAAATTAATTATATTGGAGACTAACATGTATTATTTCCCCAGCCTCTGCCTGTTGTCTTTCACTTTGTTAAACTGGATGTATTTCAGTAGGTTATACCTGATCTACAGGGGTTTTGTCCAACTTTTCAAGTTAAGAAGGTCAGGTTATAAAAATGTATGTACACAAAACGCAATTCCCAAGAAGAGAGAGAGCAGGTCAACCCCAAAAATTTGTTTGCAAGCATTAACAATCCCAGTGAACAGCAATGCCATCCAACACCACTCAGGTTGCAAAGACTTTGGTCACAAGAAGTGTTCAGTGGGTCAAAATAACAGCAGAGTTCAAGCAGCCTTAACTTTTTTCTTTATAAATGCAATGAAGACGACAGACCATTAAATATAAAAGCAATTTTATAAAAACACATCAGAATTTTATTGCTTGAAGAATACAGCATATGAAAAAGCACAAGAATGTCCAAAAGAAAGGTCACAAAGATCCAAACATACTACACCACACATACCAGATGCAGTAAAATGTTAACCTGAATTCTGCATCAGAAAATAAAGGTGTGAAAATATACCTAATATTATTTAAAAGAAAAAGACTCATTTAAAATAGAAAGTGTGAAGGTGTTACAGTACAAATTAGAAAAGCCAACACTGCACATTAACATCGTATCACTAGACTAGATTTTCTACCTTTGGTACTTAAACCTTTACAGAAAACCACTTCCTCGGTCAAACCTTGCCTAACATAGTTCATAGAGTATCCATGAGAGGTTTTTTTGTTTTGTTTTTCTTTTTCAAACTTAAACATTCAAACAAAGATTCTTCTGAGTTTTCACTGCATTAATGCATTTAAGGAAGTGTTCACATTTATTCAATATGCAACTTAATGTATCTCAATTTAAATCAAAAGTCACTATGTGACAGATCTGAACACATGCCAATGGTACCTTTTTCAGATCTTTATGTAAAAATGGGCACACCATTTTCTGTTTGCATTCTTGTGTAAACAAACTGCTGCAGCCCTCCTCAAGAATTTGAACTAGCGCAACTTGCTGAGGACGTAAGTTAATTAAACAATCCACGTTGTTAGAGAACTATGGAATCATCTACAGCAGCATGCAAGTGGCTTTTCTAGTCTGCTCAGATTAGTGTACCAGAAGATATGCCAGTATTACTTCAAGTAACACATTAAAACTCAGCAATGGACACTACTGTGCTTTATTTCAACACAAAGAACAGCTGCTCATCCATTAATCAACAGAATATTCAAATCAACTATCAAAAGGACTACTACCTCATTTCTGTTCCACGTATTGCTGATCACTCTTGGGAAATAGTTTATCAAAAACCTGGACTTACCTAGGAACTAATCTGAATGAGGAAAATGTTATCTTTCAACCAGGTATCTTAGCAATTCAGTGGCAATCTATTCTGGAGAATGTTAGCATTATGCTGACAACAATGACTAATCAAGGTTAAATAAATTCCCTCTTTTATGGCAAGCATGATCTTAGCTTCTGCTTTTGCTTTCTTAGGCTTCAATACTTAACCATTCCCAGTTACATCAGTGGAATTAAAACAATTCTGTTTCATCAAGTTCCAGATTTATATTTCAACAGTATGAATAGATCTGGACTACGAAATACCAGCAACAACAGTTAACATTAAACTGGAGTGAAATAACTGAAGAGTTAGTTCTTCAAACCAGGCAGTCTTTGAAGTGAAATATTCAGTTAGGACTGTCGAAGGATGTCATAATAAAACCATGGGTTTATTTTTTTCGCCCCTATACAAGGAAATGACTGAATTTGTACAACTCCTATTAAACATACCTTTTCCTAGCTTGGTGAAAACGTATCATTGTCAAATTTTAACAAGTGTGGTATTTGAGCATATATAATATTTATTGCCATATACATCCTCATTTTAAAAAGAACCAAGAATTCAGACTCTACTATGCTGAACTCTGCTTTTTTCCCATTAACAGATTATGTCTACTGTACCACTCCCCCAAAAAACAATTAAAAATTCTAAGTAAGATTTTATAGTTTAGTTAAAAGGGAAGAAATGCAAATGTAGATTTAGAGCTTTTTGTATAAATCTCACTATATTTTATAAACGTGTTGTTTATTGTAACACTGTTTATTGATCAAATAAATGACGCACTGCTATCTAAAATTTCCATATACACCATTAAAAATCCAAAGTTGATATGATACTGAACCTTAAATCTTCAAGAGTTCAAAAAAAGACAGTTTATACATGTACAGCACACAACAGCAGACACCCCTAGAATACCAATTCCCAGTCCATGATGCATACAAACTTACAGGTAAGCACTCATTTCACTGTTTTCATTGTGCAGGAAAAATATTTCTTAAAGACAAACTCAGCTGGTGAATTTCAGATATCATCTTCATCATCTTCATCCTGAGAGGATCCTGCCTGATTGGATGCACTGGCTGAGGCAGGAGCAGGCTGTTGTCTAGCCTAAAGACATGAATTTAATTGTTAAGGCCGTACATACTTGTGAAGAATCTCTAGAGCACCTTACCTTTAAAACCAGTTTTATCTGCACCTGCAGATTCCTTTTGTATAACTTTTATTAATTGTACATATAAAAACACATCAGGAAGCACCTGAATTATTTGTACCAAGATGTTTAGCTGTATTCTCTCTTCTTCTGAAGGGGTCAACCATTTGGAGGATTTACAGTTACAAAAACAAAAGGCAGGAGCTAGCGTACTTAAGTTCCATTGTAAGGATTGTGCTGAACCACTTCCAAACGGAAAAATTAAGTGAGGCAAAGCAATGGTAATTCTAGGCTTCAATTTCAAGGAATCTTAACATTTAACCACAGTTCAGAGATGAGAACAGCCCTGCTTTGTTGATGACAAATACTAAAACTTGCAATTATGAAATCGTCCAATTGTACCACAAAGACACACAAAACCAAAGAAAGCCATTACCTTACTTTGCTAAGTAATCTTTGGAAAACAGAACAATATAAGGTCTTCTCAAATTCGGGTATGCAGACTGAGGATGGCTTTGCTACAGTCCTTTACCGAAAGGCACAAGACATTCTAAAAAAAACATTTCAAATAGTTCAACTGGTGACCTCTCATTTTTCTATCCAGAGTTTTCATTCGTTCTGCAGCAACTACTATTGATTCCAACAGTATACTAGTCAATTGTGTTGAAGTTAAAACTTCAATTTCTATTTTGAGAGAACATTAAGAAAAAATTCTTAAAACTAAAAATCCTGCTTCTTTACTTTTCTACTTTTACAAGTCATCACTAATACTGTAATTATTTCCTTTCTAATAGCATTGCACTCACTGAATTTTCCTATTTTTTTCCAAAGCATCAACAAATTTTACAGTTTCACAAACTTCAAGATGCCAGTTCATCTACGTAGTGAAGTGAAAAAATGGGAGTCTTCTTTTAAGAAGTGTCACATTTCCTCAGTCTGTTCTAGCATTAAAAGAAAATAATTTTATGGAGGTAGAAATCTCTTCTCAATGAAGACTCTTCAGTACTTCAAACTTCAAGCAGTAGTGAAGTTACAAGAGTTGCAAAACAATTTAAGATGTAAAGTTTTAAAGAAAGGAAGACAGCAGCATCTGTACACATACAAGAGGCATAAATATTTGCCACACACAAGATAACAATAGGGCTCCCTACCAACCCTGCTACAATGAAGTTTATCTCCTCACTGAGTGTGCAGTAAACATGCATGCACCAGGAACCAGAGGCTCAGCACTTCACACTGGATGGATCGTTTTGGCAGTGCCTACTCTCACTGCCCTATTTATAACAATATCACTTAGCCATTTCAGAAATAAAAAAAAGAAAAATTCCATTGAGTTGTACTGACTAAGCTTCACAAGCACCTGGTAAACTTAACTCATTGATTGCACAGACGAACTTCAGTGAAGAAGCCTTAAAAAGGTTTGTTAAGGCCCTCATCTTGCACAGAAACTTACAAACACGCATGAACATCAGGATAAGCCATTCCACTGACTTCAAATATTCACAAACACCCAAGCTACAGGCATCAAACATTTGTAACATTAACAGGCAAGTATTTTAAAACTATAGAAAGAAGTCAACATTAGTGTCATGCTCTAGAATATTAACAAGATTAGCACAAAAAACCTGAACATGTGCTTACATAACTATTTTTAAGAGTAATTACAGTACCTCCAACAGCATATCACAACTAGTATTTTTGAAAAATGAGACTGCCATCTTTAAATCTAAGGAAAGATCTTCCATATTACCAAAGACTTCTTAAAAATCATTCCTACAATCTTGTCAAACTTGCACATATTGCCTTAATTTAGACATTAAGACACAGTATTATAGAATTCAAAAAGAACATCCCTAAAGGGGTCATTCCTTAGATTAAGTGTGGCTTACATAAAGTGGCGATGGTTTCATCTTTTTTTTTTTTTAAATGTTACTCAGGAGCTAGTACTCCCTTAACACACCTTAACTTTGCTGCTTTTTTATTGCGTACACCATGCTAAGTTATTTGAACAAAATATTAAGTAAAAAATAGGTATAAAACTGACTACGACTTGTAAATGTCACCCTTAATCCAGAAGCAGTCATATTGGTCTTTCTAATGTTAGTACACTCAAAAAGAAGTTAGGCACACTTTAATTTATCACAACTAGGTTCACTGCATGCATCTTGGTAATAGCTACGTGGCATGATGAATTTTAAATGCCTTAAAATTCATCATGCAATTAGGACTAAAATAGTTGGCATGTTGTAATATGAAAAACAACAGTTATTAATTATTTCAGCAAGATACAAGTATAGCGAAGGGGAGAGAAGGTCACAGTAATCAGACATGATAACACATAGCTGAACAAGCATTTTCACAGAAGGTATTCCAAGTAAGCAAGCTGAGAAAGTAAGACTGATGCCCTGCATAAGAAGAAAGAGAAATCCAAGATAATTTTCACATCACTGAGTTTAGAGAATAGTCATCTTGTCAAACTAAGAGAACAGTAGAGACCAAGATGGTATAGAAAGATTAATAAATAAAATTGGCTTCTAGTCATTTAAACTTAGAGATGTTCACAAACTATCTGGGAAAGCTAGGAGAGGAGAAGGCTAGGATGAAGGGGAAAGGGGGGGATAGAGTGAGTGTATGCACGCACAGTATTTGCAGGTAAATACTTTTCCTATGCCTGAATTGCCTCTTTAAAAATTTATGCATGAAGTCACTCTATGAGTCTTGCCAAGAGTAAAAGAAGATGAGAAAGGACAAACTGGAAATTTTCAATGATTACATGTTTCTTTCAAAGCCTCAGAAATAACATTTGTGCACTGATGGCCAGAAATAGAAAAGATATTTTCACTTTTTAATGCATCGAAACTGGTAATTTCCTAGAACATCAGCTGGCATTCTTTCATTTCCTCAGTCAAGTAACTCTTAATGTATTCTCTACAATAGAATGGAAATACCTAAGTGGCAGCAAAACCCCATGCTTTTTAAATCTAGATTTGTTTGTATGTGCAATCCTGCATGTCAAATCACAGAATTCACAAGTAGCAGCATCTTGTTTGTTGACTGTACTTTCCCCAATTCAAACAGGCCAAGGCCGGCAGCATCTTGGATGCCACAGGAATTCACAAGGAAAGGGTCACTTCTTGAGGTCACTTCTAGTTGTTTATCACACTAGATCTGCAGCATTAATTATTCCAACCTCATCAGTACAAGGATTGCTTCACTTACTTTTAAAAATAATTCC